GGTGCACTGCCCCGAAGGCTATTGGCGCGGACTTAAAAACATAATTTAATAACATTTAATAATATCTCAAAATAAATTTCCATTTTTAATACTGCACAATATTGTGAAGCCCAAAATCACTTTAACATTTAAACATTTTTGGTTTATTTTTATGTTTTGAATTTTAAAATTGCACTAATATTTCATATAATAATAACTATTATAATTGTATTAGCTATCAGTTATATTTTATTGTCTTACTGGTATCGGACAAAATTTTAATACATCCATATAATTAATGTACTGATAAAGTGTTTTCTTGACATTAGCAAGACAACCATAGATGGATCAATTTGCAGTTATGAGCGAAACCAAAATGATTCAGAGTAGAATCTCGCAAATGTGGTATTTCTGACATGACATAAACGTAGCTTAAGTATTTAGAAAGAGCACAAGTTCTTTGTATAACAATTACAGCTAGAAAACCAGAGTGTTTTACTCCAAAGTGAGCATTAAGAGGTTATTCATACTCACTTGGCTCTAGAGATGAATTTATAAGTGTCATTCCAGTAAGCCAGCAAGTCTGTGGCCTCTTCATCGTAAACCCGGATATTGTGGTACTCAAATAGGCTTGGGAAGAAGTTATCGATCTCCCGCGTCACATTAAGGATGTATTGCACCCTGATAGTAAACACAAAGACATAACCGAAAATCTGTGTAATTATTAACGCCAGGAAGAGATTTCAAAGAGAATAATAAAGGATAACACAGGTTTATGGCTAAAACAGTCTGGCAAAGTAGCCTCTATTGCAGGTATTATAGGTATGCGTGTTTTCATAGACGAGGATGTCAACAAAACTCACCCGGTGTTTTGCAGCTCTTCCAGATTAGATGCATTCCATTCAGAACCCTATAATTATGTGCAATCCAAAAATGACTTATGGTACAACGTAACTGAAATGTATATTTAAAATGTATTGGTGACATAACTCTCACCAGGTAAACATGCTCAAAAATCTCTGTGGGCCTGTCCATCTGCCCCAAGATGACGATCATCTCATTATCAATGTACTCTTTAAATTCCCGTAGGTTACACACCATCTGCATCTCCAGCTCTGTGCGGATCTAAACAGAAGTGTGTGTGCAGGTACAACTTGTGAGCTAAGACGTGAGAAGATTCTACTGAATAAATCAATCATTCAGGAAATGATTTTTAGGATGTGTATTTGGATCATACATCTTTAGAGGTGACGTTCTCAAGGTCTTTCTGCATCATGATCTCTCTCAAACGAGTCTTGATGAGTCTCTCTGTTCTTTCTCTCTCAGTTGGCCTGGAGACACAAAGCAAAAACAAACACAAAAAAACAAACAAAAAACAAACATTCATATTTCTGTTAACATTTCGCCACTTAAAAAATCAATGATTTGTGCAAATCTAACACATCCACTGGTACAATTTTGCAAGCAAAAGATATATATTAGATTATCTATTAGCCATATTTAGAGAGTGTCTGGTTCTAAAATATAAAGTTCCATGATACATCAAAACTGGCGTTAGTTTGCTCAAATTGCAGGACCATTTACAAATTAGTACTCACACTTCAGAGAAGAGCACAGGTGAGTCTGCTCGGTGGGACTGCACGTCCTGCATGGCGTTCCACTCATTGATGCGGGCCTGATCTGAAGACACCCGGCTCTGGTAGTAACTCACCCAAGTCAGGAAGAGGCTGCCTGGGAAGTAGTTATGACAGCGGGCCACTTCACAGGCCTTATGAAGAGATTGCAGGGCAGACCTGAGAGAAAAAGGTGCTCCATATTAAAACATATTAGGGTTGGACTGATACTAAAATTGTTTCTTAGGCACAATATATCAGCCTTTAGTGCCCCAGTATCAATATTAGATCAAAACCTTAGGCAACAAATTAACAGCCTAGGGATGATAGATGACATGCATCTAGATTTAACAATGACTGATTTAACAATTCAATGATAGTAAGCTCTCATATTGATTTTTTTTTTTTTTT